CGAAGGCCTACATCCCAATCTAGGGAACCTACAATTTTGGACTGGTTGTTTATGTTGTCAGCTCTAAGAAGACCACCCGCTGAACCGCTGGAATCAGCACCACTGAAATATTTGACATAGTATGCATACTAGCTCTCACCTCTGGTAGATGTAGTTTTGAGTTAGGGGGTCTGTCTCTATCGGACGGTTGTGCCACCTTTATGAACAATCAAGCTGTGGTAAAATAGGATCAAGAGGAGTTGCTCCTATGCCAAGTTAGAACTTTGAGTTGATATGAGAGACATACTAAGGAGTCGAGGCAAGGCAACAAGCACATGTTTATGTGTTATGGCCTGAGTAAGCAGAACAGATCAACTTCCATTTATAGGTAGTTTACATCGATAGTGTTTGAGGTTTGCGACCGGTTAGCACCCTCAGTACAATGTCGATAGAGACACCAAGTAAGAGCGCATGAGGTTCGTGTGAGCACAATTTCATTATGTAAACAAATGCATTGCTTCACTACTTGTATTATAACCAAACAATTATGTAATCTGTTCACCAAGTTAATTGTCACACTACTTAGTTTCTACCAACATTATTATTCTGCCTGTGTAATTATTTATCCGATGTCGATTACAAAATAAAAATGTCAGCGCTTGTATAGTCACAAAGCTGTTACCTCTAGTCACGTTTGTTTTTCTCACGCTGCCATTAGACTTAGAACTCACAACTAACCAGCGAGCAAAAACCTGGTATGCTTGACTCTCGGAATAGAAGAAGACTACAACTCACAGACTACCTGGTGACCATATGCTCTGGATCGTCGAGACAACTTTAATCTTTATAGAAGGTTGTCCTGCATTGAGACTATTCTGCCATGAATGTAATGCACAGCTAAGTGACATGTCTGAACTGACATCGTAAAACTTAATTGTACTGCTGTATTTATAGTCAAAACTGATATTGTATGACGGACTGAATTATTGTATGTCATGATTATAGGTTACATTGATTAGTATAGAGAATGTAACTTGTGCACATAAGAATTGGTTTTCCATAGATTAAATTGACCTATTTGTAAATTCAATGCCCACTAAGAGTGGAGCTTTTTCTACTGATGGTGACAACGATTTAGTATATAGGATTCAGGGTGGCTGATACAAGCACCTGACAAGTTGATTATCGTCATGTTTTATAAAAATAACTACTTCTGCACCACAGATGGCATACAGAGCATAATTACAAAATGAAAATTACCCCAACCTTCTTTCTTGCATGAAATGAATGTTGTTTAATATTATCGACTAGTCTGAGGAGCCTTAATGATTACTAATAGATGCGGTCTCATAAGATCTACGTGAAATAAATGTTCATCAAATATGTTACTTTTCTGACGATTTGTTGATACTTCTTAAATTTAAATTACTAAATTATTATGATGTACATAGTAATGCACGTATAGTAATATTTAAGATGTTGTCTAGTACTAGATACACAGTTTAAGTTGTCATCTACAAAAACATAGAAGTTGAAAAACCCTATTTGCAAAATCAGTGATTGAACTCAACGAGAACCAGGGATTGAAATGTCCCTGCACTCAAACCCACACCAACATTCATTTTTCCATCCACGCTGTATTGTCCTAGTTCCCGGGCCAATTAAGTGATTAGAAGTCTATATTAGCGTATAATGAAAAGATATTACGTCATACTAACTTCGCACGTCGTGATTTATATTAGGAGTTAGTGTTGAACTATATGCGTAATAGTTATTCAATCAAATTCTCGTGTTACTGATATAAAAACCGTCACAACAAAATAATCGTCACGCGATTTTTCGCTTATTATTGCGTATTCACTCAATTTGCGCATCTCAACTGCCAACAACATATATAAAATCATCATGTCATTGTATAAGTGTACAATAAAATAACAGCTCGTATTGAAAATACATTCAACATACCCGACACAGCATTGGGAAATCCAAGGTGTCTACAAGTAACCATAGCATCATTTGCATCCCATTGACCGATATCGACAACATCAACCCATTTTCCTCTCACAAATAACTGCAGAGTACCATTACCAATATCATCTGATCTATATAACCGTGGCATGGCTACACCTACAAATGTAAAATGTAGTTAACTTCCAAGTCGAA